GCTCCAGCCCTCTTTCCCGTGACCCGGGGATGGCGACCCCTTTCCGACGGTGTGAGGTGAATTTTAAGACCTCTGCTCCTTCTCCTTGGTGCCAGCCCAAGCCCTGCCAGCACCCCCTGGGCCCTGGGGTATCACTCCTGCATCTGGGCATCACAGGTGCTCATTGCAGTGACCGCTTCCGAGGCCGCCTGGATAAAACCCACCCCGTCGTTGGCATGACCACAGGCATAACGCAAGGTGGTTCAACGCTCCTTGCTGACGGGAGCCTGAACTGTCGGCAGTTCAGCACATCGGGGATGTGATTTAAATCAATCAGGAAAACAGCCTCTGATTTTATGCAAATTAGTGTTTGGGGACTGAAGCAATTTCTAATTTACAGGCCTTAATTCAGAGGTCATTCCCTTTCCCCACCCCCCTGCATTCTGCCTGCATGCTACTTTGATTTTCTGAAAGGTTATTTAGAAAATAAGCATTATATATCAGAATGTTTCATCCTGCAGGTGAGAAGAAAACCAGCACAGCTTCTGAAACACCCGAAAGTCCTTGACTCTCTTCTACAACAAGCTCCTGTACACACCTTTTAAATCTAGTGCATGCAAAAATACAATTGCCAGCCAACCTTTATACAAAAGCACTATGGAATATCATTCTAGAGGGAGTGATGACTAAACCACATGTTCATCACCAGCTCCTGAGATCTACTTATTCTATAAATACCCTACACGGAAACCGTGCAAACATCTCCTTGGCCCCAGCCCACTGATGAATTCAGTAGATCACTGATACTCATTCCAAAGCTGTTCCAGGAAGCCACAAAATCGAGTCTAAATTATTATAATCTACAGAGATGCAGGGTTTTTAATTTTATTTCTTATAGTGTTACACCCCCTGCCCACCTCTAAATGCAAGCTAATATCTTTAGCAGAAATTAGTTCTCCTGCTTGGCTGGAAAGCAATACCAAAATTGCTGACAGCACTCACACATTACCTCAGTAATGTAAGGCACACATGGCAAAATCACACACTTTTCAAAGTGCCCTTAAAAAGCAACATATGTAGGTATCCCAAAAGCCACCTTGCCACCCCCAGAAGGGAGCTGCTACGCCACGAGGGTTCCCCAAGCGTGAGGGTCCACACGGATGCTGCGCAGGTGCTTCACAGCTCCCCCAGCATCCCGACTCCCACGCCGCCACAGGCATGAGATGAGACACCCACGTCTCAGGAACGACCCGGGGCGTCAGCAGCCCCCTGCCAGGACGGCTGCCCTCACCCTGCTGCGGGGGCAGCCTTCCTCCCCCACTGCCCCCTCGCTGGCTCCACTGCTCCTCTGACCCCGCGCTGAAGCAGTTCAGCTCGCAGAAATCAGCAGGAAACTAATCATTTTCCAGATCCAGACCTGGCTGCCTGCCCAGGAGCAGGAGTGCCAGAGCCAGCACAAAAGAGGAGCCAGGACCATGTGGCTGGGAAAGGAGGAGGAGGAGGATGATGGTCCCACCCCAGTTTACATCAGGGTAGGCTGCCAGGGATCCTCATCCCGATATGGTGCTGCCGGGCACTTGTCCAAAGGAGTCTGGACAAAGTGTCAGCACGTACTCGACCTCGCAGGCAAGGAAGTGCTCTCAGGTTCCTGCACTTAGACATTACACATAAACACTCTTTGCTAAGAAGACGTAATGTCTTGACTTTCCTGTCTTTGCTGAAGCTGCTGTGGCTGCTTTTCGGGGAAGTTTTGAAGGCATAGTTCAAGGGCTGCAGCTGTGTATTTCATGCCTGCACTGGTGTTCTCCTCCCCTCTCCTCGTCGCACCTCCCCAGCAGCTTCGGAGCCTGGCCAGGGGGATTCCCACAGCAATCCACTGCAGGCTGACCCAGCAGAAATAAATACAATTTAGCTTTCAACCAGATTGTGACTCGGCTCATCACGGAAAGGCTACAGGCAACACCGCTGGACTGGGAATGGAAGATGGGAATAGGAAAGGGATGAGATTGCCATGGGTTGCTGCAGTTTGGTGTCTTAGTCTCAGCTTACTGTGCAGCCATGCTCTTGAAAATATCATCGGACTTGCAAACAGAACAATATTTTCTTTATTTAAATTCCATCAAAAATGCTGCAAAACGAATTTGTTAAATCATAATATCTGTCAAGATTCATATGACATGAG